TTGTCATGGGGAACCGACTCCAGGAGTGGAGGTTGTCATGGGGAACCAACACCAGGAGTGGAGGTTGTCATGGGGAACCGACTCCAGGAGTGGAGGTCATCGCGGGGAGGCGAGCCACTTTGCAGACTGGAGGTGAGGCCTCGAGTTTTGAAGCCAGGCGTGGTCTGAAGATTTGGCCCGTTGCGATGTGGAGGCTAAGTGCTGGCTTGGACCTGGGTGGAACGTCAGTAAATTGGTTACTTTCTCCCCCCTTTTTATTCTTATGCTGGACTTTTTAGTTATTGCTTTTTCTATTTTATACCAAACACTTAAGTAATTGTACCTAGGTAGCTAGTGTCTTAGATGGTGCTGTAAGTGGCAACAGTGCAAACTTTTCACTGCACTCATTTAAGTGCACTTGACAATAAAACTAATTCAATTCAATTATCCCTGTGTTACAGGCAAAAACCCTTCTCTAACAATAAGTACTGCATAATAGTTAACAAAAAACAGCATAATACCCTGAAAGTTATAATTAAACCAGGGGCCCAAAGGCATCAGAAATTCATCCAGCTTACAGAGCCACGAATCTCAAACAGTGGCTGTTCAGGTGTTCAATATCAACATTGCCAGTAGCCTCCACTGTAATGACCTGCAACATTCAATTGTCTGCTCTTTGCAAACAATTCAGAGAATGATCTGTGTATAATCTTTTAAAAACTTATTTCTTTTTAGACTTACCTCTTATTTCCAAGCTGTGCGCATGTTAGCATTGCTAATTTTTCTCACGTTTAGTCATTAAAAAACTCACTTGTTTTGTTAAATCAAGAAGGCCTGATTACACTTGCTCCACTTAAAACATAAATTCATTTGCATCTGGGTGCAAAGCATGCACAAGGTAAGGAATGTTTTCTTAATTAATATTGTTGCAACCAACTGAAGGTGTGGGTGGATAAAGAAGGAAAGCCAATTCGTCGCCCCATCCAGGAGCCTAGCTGTGCATTTTAGAACTGTAAGGAATTGGGGAACTTGTTGTCATCATAACATCCACAGTTAAATAGCTGACTTAAGCAGACAATTCTGAAATGTACAAGACTGCAATCGCATGAAAAGAAAAAGAAAGATAGTTATCCTTTTGGGTGTAAACCCTTCACCTTAGCTTGAAAGCATTATCTGTCCTTTTCCCTTTCAAATACTGAGTAACCTGTAGTGGATCTCTGGTGTATTTTCAATTGTTGTATCAAATTTCCAAATCTGTAGATACTTTCTTTCATCTTAAAACTCACAGATAATTTAGCACAATTAGCTTATTCTTACCTGCTTGAATTAGATGTGCACAGCTTCTATCAAGCATGTTACTTAACCAGGCAACATATACTCTACATGGCTTGAGGTATATAATGCAATAAAATGATATTCAAAGTAAGTTAAAACAATATGATTTCAAGAAAGAGTTAAATATAGCACTTGGGGCTAAAGGGATCAAAATATATGGGGGGAAGGCAGGAACAGGATATTGAATAGGATGATCAACCATGATTGTAATAAATGGTGGAGCAGGTTTCAAGGGCTGAATGACCTATTTTCTATGTATTGCCTGGATCTTTCATTAATTGCTACCTGTTGTCTGATTGCCAAGCTTTTGCCTGCCTGGCTGTTGCTTTGAGCCTAGCTTCGCTAGAAATGCAGAGAGCAGTGACCCTTGAAGAACAGCATTGCAGCACTGTAGTGTCAGGAGGAAGATAAAACATGCACCCCTCTCTTACAGCACTAGCTGCTGTTGTACAAGTTGAAAGATCCAATCTGAATGTTAAAGAACAATAAGTGGATGAATGAGTGAATAGGTAGGTCGGTAGTATTGGTAGGTGGGTAGATTAAGTGGATGGGATGTCAGATGGGTAAGCTTATAGGCAAGTAAGGTGTCAATTGGGTGAAATGAGTCATTGGGTCAACACTTTGGGGCTAATCAGGTCTGGTTGAGGGGGTAAGTTAAACAGATAGGCTGGGGGTAGTATCATCAAGGGGAGATCAGTTTGGAACAGAGAGTTAAGAGGTCAGGAGTGGTGTGGTCGAGGGTGTTAGTCAGGTGGTATACTCAAGGGATCAGGGAGGGTGTAGTCATGGAGTCAAGGGAAAATTGGGGGTCAGAGTAAGTGATTTGGTGTCAGCTGTGTAGTCACTCAGGACTTAAACCAGAACTTTGGTGTCGAACACTTGCTGGTAACTATTCAGTTAAGTACATCAAAACCATCTTAAGTCTCTGAGTCAGGGATTCAAAATTCTGGGGCAATTTCCATGGACGCCAGTGCATCAGGATTTCTCTGGCATCCCCAGGTGTATCTCGAGCTATGCACCTGAGACTTAGCCTTTGCTTGCAACAACACAGAAAATTGTGAAACTGAACATTTGTTTGTTGGGACCCATTTGTTACTCTATAAGCAAGTATCTTAAATCATCTTTGACCTTTTCTTCTTTCAAAGGTGCAGCAAAAGCAACGACCAATGGATCCTGGCAGCCTTGGCTAGTTGGACTTACTGCCGTTACTGTGTTCATTTTCATTGTCTTTGTCCTGTTGATAATGAACAGGATTTTTTGTACCAAGTAAGTCAATGGAGCTATACCGAGTATTCATGTCTTATTATCAAGTATCACAAATCAGTATGAATTGAAATTGAGATTCTGTGAAAAAAGATGCAGTTATTTAAAAAGGACAGCGGACAAAATCTTGACTCCTTGGTTTTTTGATGTTGGAGTTATCTTCAAAGCATGCATTCACCTGCCTGTTTTTAATTTTAACAAGAGCTTTCTGCAATTTTACACATCTGTGTGCCCTCTACTAATCTCACTGATGTGTCCTATTTTGTTGCTCTTTCACAATGAGTCTGCTGCTTCCTAGCCTACATTTTATTCTTTCTAAATCTTATTTGACCAGCCCTCCATCTTGTATACCTATGTCCCCTTTTTATGTAAGAGGTCTCTCTCAAAGTTGAATCTGTGATATTTTGTATGACAGAATTTTACCTGTGGGTTGCAAAGTTGATTTGTATAGAGTACTTGTGGATTAGGAGGCAGAAAGTTATAATTTGGTGTTTGTAAAATGCTTGGGGGAAACAGCGCATGGTCCCTTTAAAAGATGATGTGCCTTTTCTATGCTTAGAGATTCAAAAAGGTTGTCCGTGGGTAGGAGCTTGTGGGTTTGCAGGTACACAGAGCAGCTGAATTAAAACATTTGTATCAAAAGGCTATATAGTTAGCAAGCCAAGCAGCAGTTTTGTTTTGTTATCAAGACAACAAGTTTTCAATTTAGCCAATTAATTTGAACCAAGCACTTGGATACCAACAACCAATTAAATTTAAATCTGATGGCTTTGAGAACATAGGACCAATCTTATTGTAAGAAATATTGATATGTCATGAAGAGTATAAAAGAAAGGGCAGTTGGGCAAAGACAGGAGAGTGAACTGCCATCTGCCAGAGTTAACAGCCATCAGCACGCAAGAGAGAATTGCTGGCTCTCACAGCCTTCTCCAAGTTTTAGAGAAAACACCATCTAAATCAAAGGTACCTACAACACAACTGGTTAGTATTCCTGACGGAACTTTTGACGGAGAAGGCACAGAATGTTCCGGAAGATACGTAACCTGGCTGTAATTTCAAGAGACTAAGTTCTTTTTATTGTTTTATTTTACATAAGTGGGCCTTGTATTTATTGGAAGACCATACCATTAGAGTCTTGTTTTAGTTGGGAATAGTTAAATGTTAGAAGGGATTTATTCAGTTTGTTAATAGTTTAGTTAATTTAATGGCTGTTAGAATAGATAAATAAATTGTTCCTTGTTGATTGTAAAGTGAGTGTCAGGGGTTTATTTTATTTAACCACTAGAAGTTGCTGAGAGGCAGGTTTTCACACTCCTTTTAACAGATTTCAGGGTGAGGCATTCCTTTCTGGGTGTTTTGGTTTTAGTTATCGGTGGGGGGGTGTGTCACCCTTCACTTTATAGCACCCGTGACAAGTCACAAACAGAAACAATGAACTATGTACGCAGATTGGGCAAATTCAGTTTGCAAGAGAAACTGAGAACAATAGTTGTACTGTACCATTAGTATTACCTTACCCACAATGTATCTGAAGGTCGGACCACAACAGAGATAGTAGGAACTGCCGATGCTTATCCCAGACCACAACTGTTCATTTTTAAAATGGAAATGGATGTAAAAGCCACAATCACAGAACCATGCACTGTTCATATCCTACGGGTTGGGAAGGGTGACGAAAATCTAAGTATTGAGTACCTATCCATTGCATTAAAATATTTTTTATGGAAATCAAGATTAATCTTGTGGATGAACATCACTTTTGAAAATTTGGTTGATTTACTCTGAACGAGCAACATGCCTGAATCCAAATAAAGCTGTTCAATTTTAATACCTTAATGACACGGAAGTGCCGGTGTTGGACTGGGGTGAACAAAGTCAGAAGTCACACGACACCAGGTTATAATCCAACAGGTTTATTTGAAATCAGAACCTTTTGGAGTGCTGCTCCTTTGTCAGATGAACATCCACTGTCATGTGACTTAATACGTTAATGGACCTTCATTTCATAAAATCATCAAATCCCTACAGTGTGGAAGCCGGCCATTCAGCCCATCAAATCCACACCAACTTTCTGAAGAGCATCCCACCCAGACCCAGCCCCTGTAACCCTTCATTTCCTGTGGCTAATTCACCTAGCCTGCACATCTTCGGACTGTGGGAGGAAACCCTCACAGACAAAGGGAGAATGAATATGAAAACCAGCGGATTTTGTAAAAATCCTACTGGATCAACAAGTCCTTCAGGAAGGAAATCTACCCTGACCTCTTCCGACATCAACGCGACTCCAGTACCACAATGTTCATTCATGCCTCCCGAAGTGTCCTAGCAAGTCAATCCGTTGGAGAAAGAATTACAAGGCAAATGCATCTTGAATGCAGGCTGTGAATGCTGCTATAACCTGAGACCAGAAGAAGATCAATGAATGCAAGATCTGTCATACAGTCCTTAATAATGTATCCTGGACACTGGTGCAATGACTGTTATGCTAGTATTGACCAAAGTGTTAATTTTTATGGAAATAAAGAGTGTGATGAGTGTGAGTGCAACCTTACTGCTGATGATGGGTAATTGTTTCTTTGTTCTACAACCAGTCATTTCTTTTCACAAATTGCTGTTATTTTGAGTGAATAATAATAATTCATTCAATTTCTACTATTTCTTCCAAAACCACAGCAACAATATAAGTAAACTAAAGTTTATGTTGAGTCATTACGGTTTTATTGCATTAAGAAGACTTCTGAGTGCAATGCTAGATCAGTCAGAAATGCAATGTTTATACTCAATCTCATTCAAATGTGCCCTCACTGGAGTGGTGGTGACATTTAGTTTACTCTTAAGGCCAGGTTACTGTTACTGAAGCTCACTGGATGTTGGCACAGGATGGCAGGAACTAATTAGTCACCCAAAATTCAGGGTCTGCCTCCATTCACCCACCCATACGAAAAATATTTTTTCTATAGTCTAGCAAATCATTATCAAAGACTTGAATTTGGGTCGGAACCCAAGAGGAAGATGTAGAAAAACTCAAGACTAATCAGATGTTTCGATGAAGGATTAACGGCACAAAATCTCCAGAATGCATGTGACATGTGAAATCGTTCCACACTGTATGATAGCCAAGCAGCAGGTCAAATGATATCCAAGTTGAGAAAGCTCTGGGGATAGGCCCATTTGTATGTTTGCGAAACAAACTGATGGAAGAAAGGACGCTGAAGAAGGACCCACAATGATGAAATAATTTAGCAGCAATTCAGCTACCAGTGAAACCAATGATTGGTTATCATTATCTGGATGAGTTAGGAGCCTTTATTGGACTAAAGCTAGGGCTAAAGATCAACAGCACTCACTCTGTAAGTGAGGAGGCCAGGAAATACCACTAAGTGAGGCAAGATGCTGTGAAACAGTTGCGAGACAAGTTTTACCATTTACTTTCCCCTAGGATTGCTCCTAAATGGGACAAAATCTCATTGTGGAATGGAGATTCCCATCGTTAGAAATTCGCACAGCAAAGGCCTTGATCTTGATCGAAGTTTGGGGATCAAAGTGTTCAGTGGGAAGTTTAGTTTGATATCTGCTTCATTGTTTGAATTTATTCTCCAGGTAAATTGTAATCAATATTGGATGCAGGCTTGTTAATGCTGCCTTATCCTGAGATCAAAAGAAAATCAATGAGTGCAAGGTCTGGAGTATAATCCTCAACAACGTATTTTAGGCGGCCTTGGAAGGACTGTTGCATTCTATTGACCCATGTTACTTTTTATAGGAATGACAAACATGATCAGCCTGCCATTGAACTATCCCCTGGTGATAGGTAGGTACTTTTTTTGTCATACAAGCATTCTTGTTTTTTTTACAAATATTGAATGAACAATAATAATTTGTGCAATTTCTAATATTCCTTCCAAAATCACAGCAACAATACAAGTAAACTAAAGTTTATGTTGAGTTATTGTTGTTTTATTGTATTAAGGAGACTTCTGGATGCAATGCTAGACCAGTCAGAAATGCAATGTCTATACTCAATCTCATTCAAATGTGCTCTCACTGGAGAGGTGGTGACACTTAGTTTACTCTGAAGTGCCAGATTACCCTTACTGAAGCTCACTGGATGTTGGCACAGGATGGCAGGAGCTAATTAGTCACCCAAAATTCAGGGTCTGCCTCATTCACCCACCCATACTAAAAATAATTTTCTATACTCTAGCAAATCATTATCAAGGGTTTGAATTTGGTTCAGAACCCAGAGGAAGCTATAGAAAACACTCAAACTAACCAGTCGTTTCAATGAAGGCTTGATGGCTCAAAATCTCCAGAAAGCATATGACATGTAAAATTGGTCGTCAATGTGTGATAGCCAAGCAGCAGGTCAAATGTGTTCCCACTTGAGAAAGCTCTGGGGACAGGCCCATTTGTATGTTTGCGAAACAAACTGATGAAGAAAGGATGCTGAAGAAGGGCTGACAGTGATGAGATAATTCCACAGCAACACAGCAACCAGTTAAACCAATGAGTAATCATCATTATCTGGATGAGTTAGGAGCCTTAATTGGGTACCATAGAATGAACAATCATCAGCTCTCAGTCTGTAAGTGAGCAGGCTAGGTAACATTACTAAGTGTGCCTAGATGCAGTGAGACAGTTGTTTGACAACTTTGCCATTTACTCTCCCCTAGAATTGCTGCTAAATGGGACAAGCTCACTTGTGAAATGGAGCCCTTCCCACTTCTATTCCCCTAGTTAGAAATTCATACAGCATAGGCTTTGACCTCAATTGAAATTTGGGGTCAAATTGTTTGATGGAACGTTTGGTCTGATATTCGCTTCATTGTTTTAATGTATTCTCCAGGTAAATTATATTCAATATTGAATGAATGCTTGTTGATGCTGTCATATCCTGAGGTCAAAAGAAAATTAATAGGTGCAATACCCTTGGTACAATCCCTAACAATGTATCGTAGACACTGGTGGAAGGACTGTTATGGCAGTACTGACCCAAGTGTTACTTTTTATAGGAATAAGAATCATGAGGACTCTGACTCTGACAGAAATCGATCTGCTTGTGATGGGTAAGTGGAATTTTGTCATTCAAGCATCCATTTCTTTTCACAAATTGGCTGTTATTTTGAGTGAAAAATATTGATTTATTCAAATTCTACTATTTCTTCCAAAATCACAGCAAAAATATGTGTAAACTAAAGTTTAAGTTGAGTTATTGTTGTTTTACTGTATTAAGGAGATTTTTGGATATAATGCTCGACCAGTCAGAAAGGCAATGTTTGTACTCAATCTCATTCAAATGAGTGCTCACCTGAGAGTTGGTGACATATAAATTATCTTTAAGGCAGGATTCTCCTTGCTGAAGCTCATTGCATGTTGGTACAGGATGGCCAGAGCTAATTAGTCACCCAAAACTCAGAGCATGAACTCCCCACAACCATACCCATTGTCTCTGCCTGCTCCTTACCCATCAAACTCATCTGCTCCTACCTTGGCTCAATTCTTTTCCCTTTGGTCCAGGAACTCCCTACCAACATTTTTGACACAACTCACGCGCTCCACCTTTACCAAAACCTTTAATTCACCAGCCCCCAACACCTTATCTTCACCATGGATGTACAGTCCCTTTACACCTGTATCCCCCACACGGAGGGTCTAAAAGCCCTCTGTTTGTTGCTCTCCCACAGGCCCAACCAATCCCCCTCCACTGACCCTCTCATTTGCTTGGCAGAACTGGTCCTCACCCACAACAACTTTTCCTTTGATTCCTCCCACTTCCTACAAACCAAAGAGGTGGCCGTGGGCATCCCCATGGGCCCGAGCTATGCCTACCTCCTTGTAGGACTCGTGTAACAGCTCCTCTTCAACAACTACACCAGCACCATCCCTCATCTCTTTCTCCACTATATTGATGACAGCATCGGTGCTGCCTCATGTTCCTGTGAGGAGCTCGAGCAGTTCATCAACTTCACCAACACCTTCCACCATGCCCTCAAATTCACCTGGACCATTTCTGACACCTTCCTCCCCTTCCTGGATCTCTCCGTCTCCATCTCCAGAAAATGACTCAGCACTGACATCCATTTCAAACACACCGACTCCCACAGCTACCTCAACTACACCTCCTCTAATCCACCCTCCTGCAAAAACGCTATCCAAGACTCTCAATTTCTCTGCCTCCATCGCATCTGCTCCCAGGATGAGGAGTTTTACTTCAGGACATTCCAGATAACATCCTACTTTAGGGACTGGAATTTCCTCTCCTCTGTAATTAAGATGCCCTCAACTGCATCTCCTCCATTTCCCGCACATACCCTCAAATCCCCTCCCCCAGCAACAATAAGCATACAGTTCCCTTAGTCCTTGCGTACCTCACCACCAACCTCCGAATCCAACACATCCTCCTCTGACATTTCTGCCACTGACAATCAGATCCCACCAACAAAATGATATTTCCTTCCCCACTCCTGTCTGAATTCAACAGGGAAAGTTCATTCTGCGACTACCTCGACAGCTCTACACTCCCCACCAACTTCTCCACCACACTCGGTACCTTTCCCTGCATCCACAGGAGATGTTACACTTGCCCCTACACCTGTCCTGGCTTCTCGCATCTGCAGTCCTTACTGTCTCCAAGTCACTGGAAATTAATAACAGCTTTTCTGCAGTTTGGCAAATAATTGTCAAGGACTTGACTTTGGGCAGGATATCAAGGGGAAATTATGCACCAAACTCAAGACTAACCAACTATTTCTAGAAAGGATAGATAGCTCAAAAACTCCAGAAAGCATATGACATATGAGATTGATCCTCAATGTGTGATAGCCCAAACAGCAGGTCAAATGTGCTCCCAATTGAGATGGCTCAATTCCTATCCTGATCTATGGGGATCGGCTGATTTGAATGTTTGTGAATCAAACTGATGGAAGGAAGGATGCTGAAGAAGGACCCACAATGATGAAATAATTCTGCAGCAATTCAGCTACCAGTGAAACCAATGATTGATTATCATTACCTGGATGAGTTGGGAGCCTTTATTGGACTAAAGCTAGGACTAAAGATCTACAGCACTCACTCTGTAAGTGAGGAGGCCAGGAAATACCACTAAGTGAGGCAAGATGCTGTGAAACAGTTGAGAGACAAGTTTTACCATTTACTTTCCCCTAGGATTGCTCCTAAATGGGACAAAATCTCATTGCGGAATGAAGTCCTTCCCACTTTGGTTCCCATCGTTAGAAATTCGCACAGCAAAGCCTTGTCCTTGATCAAAATTTGGGATCAAAATGTTCAATGGAAAATTTAGTCTGATATCAGTTCATTGTTTTAATTTATTCTGCAGATGTATTGTATTCAATATTTATTTTATTGAAATGCACAAAATAGTAGAAGTAGTGGTAAGATAGAAATTCCTGAACAGTTTGTGTGTACTGAAGGTGAAGCTAATGCTTTGCAATAAATACCCTGATCTCAGTGATGGAAACACTGAACTAATCTGCTAATGCATTCACACTAGTACCTGTCCATGTTCGTGGGACAACACCAACTGCAAGTTCTCCTGTAGTCACACCAACAGCCATTTGGAATTAAATTGCTGCTTCTTCACTGTCACTGGATGAATATACTGCAGCTCCCTGCCTAACAACATCGCGGGTGTACCTATACCACGAGGACTGCAACAATTTACCATTTTCAAGGACAATTAGATTGGCAATTAGAAATCTGAGATTCAAAGTGTCCTTCACTTCTGAAGTGTATGTAACAATGTCCTTAATATCATCTATTGCCTGCTGCAGCACCACACTGATGAAGATGGTGAATTGGTCTGGGGTAAGCCCACATTCCTGCTTCACATTTGGAAGGGATTCCAGAGCCTGCCATTGTGCTTCATTTGTCTATACTGATTTTCATGAAACCGATTCACCGTGGCCAGAAGTAGGCAGGCGATCAAATTTATCAAGGATAAATGCTCACGGTTTTGAATGCTTTGGGGAGGGCTCGGAAAGTGAGGTACAGGTCTTTGTTCACAACACTTTTCTTGTATCTGCAAATGCCACATCTGTAGAGCCTCTGAAACTGCACTGGCTCTCTGGCAGATTTGTTTCCACAACTCCGAGGACAAAAATGTTCTAACTAGGACCCTCCCAGCCATTGAAAGGAGGGCGATTCCATGGTAGAGGATGCAATGTGACTTTTCTCCTTTCCTTTTGCTGGTTTTGATGATAATAGCCACACAAATACTCTGCGTAAATCTGCCCTATTCCCAGCAGGCCTTAAAATCCCTGGGAGATTTTCAAGTAGTGTAAGACCACCATTCTTCAAGGTTTCATGAAGAATTCCGTCAAACCTGAGGGTTTTGTTGCTCTTTGTCTGGTTGATAGTGGACATTGTTTCCTCTACCAGTTTCGTTTGATGAGCTAATGCTGATATACTTGATGTTAGTATCATGCACTTGGCACTGAACCATTCTGACCACTGATCCAGAATAGATTTCTTGTCAGTGTGTACTGTCTGACCATAACACTCCGAAGGGTGATTTCGTTTTGATACACTGTCTAGTGCATAGACAGATTTCAGTGCTTCCTTGCAGCCTTTTATGTCACCACTGTCAGCATACGGATGAGTCTTTTCCTCAAGGTGTGATCCACCAGTCATTTTGGACGTTCCTCAGTTTACTTTAAAGTATGCTGTACTCTTAACGGTTAGCTAACTTTTCCTCTTGGCTCGTCAGCTGAGCCAAGTGAGTCTGACGAACTGACCTCTTTATTGCCAGCACATTTTGCACTTTGTCATCATCATCAAACCAGTCCCTGTTCTCCTTATTGCTGAGTCCAATGATCTTACTGGATGTATCCAGTACAGCAGCTTTGATGTGTTCCCAGAATTCTTCTGGAATGGAATCAGTTGTGAGATCAGAGTGTTCTAGTCCATTGGTAAAGTTGTTTGATATCCATCTCTGTAAAGTGAATTTTACAAGGTGCTGATTTGAAAGACTTTGATGGGTTGTCTCTAATTCTGTTCTCAGTCTAGGCTCGGAATGAAAGTTCAGCTTTAAGTGAATGAGCGGTTGTCTGCACCACAGCCAGAACAGGGCATGACTCAAGTGTTCAGGATGTCGTTTAGGCCACACTGAAGTGCTAGGATGTAGTCTAACAGATGCCAATATTTAGAGCATGGTCTTGAGTGATATTTTTGTTGAAAAAAAATCTTGGTTATGGACAGCTTTATGAGCCATAGAACTTGATTTTCAGAGTCTCTGCGTTTATTGCGCAGGGAAATACCAAGGAAGTTCCAAGATAACTAATGAGTGAATTGCATCAATGCTATATTATTGTTAAATTGAAAACATGTGTAAAATTTGGTTTTCTAATTTTTATATGCATCTTGCTTATAGAACACCAGCATCCAATGTATATTCCAACCCAGTAATCATTGAGGATGAGAAAAGGACAAGCCTATAAAGCACTCCAACTGGAAGTTCATGCACAACTTCAATACTGTCTTTATTTTCCCCCCGAATATAGAGTGATTGCTTAGTAGCTGAAAGCTGTAATCTCCTGTAATGGAATACTGAGACTAATATAGTTGTGCACTTCTTAAGGGCAACTAGAGATGGGCGATAAATACAGAACAGCCAGAAATGCGCATGTCTGATCGGTGAATAAAATAAAAACGTGATGAATAAATTGTGATCATTTAAGATGCTTTGCAAGTTATAAAAATATAATTTGCTACATTTAAGGTATTAGTGCATTTTTCTGCAAGAATTGGGAAATATATAGAATTGTATAAAAGAGCATCAATAAATAATAATGGAAACCTCTTCATTTTTCACTTGAAACTTCCAATGTGATGTCTGTTCAGGTATTATACAGATGTGAATCCTTTATGTATATCAATGAGTCCCAACAGGTTGGTTAATAAAACAGCTTACTTTCAAAAGACAAACCAAGGCTATCCTGCTGGTGTCAGGATCACATAGTGATATACATTCACTGCTTCTGTGTTTAGGAAGGGTGATAACTCCACTGTTTAACTCTATTAATGTTAAAATCCTTCTGTATGTAACTGCTATGTTTTTCATATTTGTCATTTTGGCCTTATTGCTCATACAGAAATTTCACAGGTTCAGATTTAAGATCACAATAATACAATAAGAGAGATGGAAGCAATGTGACATCTTGAGCCTGACCTACTCCTAATACAATCTTAAAATTGTTACAGTGCTGAAGGAGGCCATTCGGCCCATTGCGTCTATGTTGGCTCTCTGGATGAGTATAAGGGCTTAGTACCATTCTCCTGCCCTTTCCTTATAGCCCTGCTTATTATTTCAATCTAAATAATCATCTAATATCCTTTTGAATGTCTCCATTGAATCTGCCTTCACTCTATTTCCAGGCTGTGCATTCCAGACCCAAACCACAAGCTGTGTGCAGAGGTTATTTTCTCACATTGCATTTATTTCTTTTGCAAATCACTTTTATTCTGTGTTCTTTTATGAGAAGAACAGTCTCTCCTTATTTGCTCTGTCCATAATTCTCATGATTTTGAAAACTTTATACAAATCTTCTCATTGCCTATTCCTCTCCAAGAAAACAGTGTGAAATTATCCAATCTACTTTTGTAATTAAAGTTTCTCATCTCTGGAATCATTTTGTAAACCTCCTTTGTAATATTTTCAAAAGATTCACATCCTTTCTAAAATATGGTGCCCAGAACTGTGCAGAATACTCCAGCTCAGGCCTAACTACTGTCTTGTATAATTTCAGAATAACCTCTCTGCTCTTGTACTCTATGCTCCAATTAATAAAGTACTATATACTTATTAATTATGCTTGCACCTGTCCTGCCATCTTTAATGACTTATACACAAATACACCAGATCGCTGTGCTCCTGTACATTTTAGAGTAGTACATTTTATTTAATTTTGTCTCTTCATGTTCTTTTGATCAAAATATATCACCTCACATTTCTCTGCATTGAACTTTGTCTACCACCTGTATGTCCACAAACTTTAGAATTGTTTTTTGCAGTTCAAGATCTAGACCATTTATTAATCAGTCGAAACAAGGGTCTCAAAATCCTATAGAGTTTCATTGTCACTGGGACAAAATCCTAGCACATGGACTGCAGGACTTTAAGAAGGAAGCACACCAACACCTTCTCAAGGGCAACTAGAGATAGGCCATAAATGCTGATCCAGCAAGCGTTGCCCATGTTGCATGAGTGAATAAAAAAAGGATAATTTCACATTATTCTGCATTGCACTCCATCTGTCACTTTCTTGTCCAATTATATAACCCGTTAATGTTCCTTTGCATCCTTCTCACATATTCCTTTACCATCTAACTTTGTATTTTTAATAAATGTGGTTACATTGCACTCTTCTCCTTCATAAGAGTAGGCAACTCAGCCCCTCCAGCCTGCTCCACCATTTAATACAATCATGGCTGATCTTATCTTAGCCTCAACTCCACTTTCCTGTCTGCTCCATATAATCCTTTAACTCAATACTAATAGAAATCTGTCTCCTCCTTCAATTTATTCTGTGTCCCATCACTGGGATTTAGCTCCATTAACTTTTCAACTTCTTCCTTCCAAATATTAATTACATTCAGTTCCTCAATCTCATTTGATCCTTGCTCCCCCAGCATACTATTAATGTCTTCTACTGAAAAAACAAACACTTGTTTAAAGTTTCTGCTGTTTCCTGAAGTCCCCTGTGACTTCTCCTGTCTTTGCCTCTAAGAGTTCCGTGTTCACTTTCACTGACCTCTCTCTCCCTTTATCTATAAGGACTTGTAAAAGCTCTTACAATGTGTTTTTATATTTCTTCTTAGTTTACATTCATTTTCTATTCTATTCCTCTTTTCCAATTTTTTGGTCATTCTTTGACAATTTCTAAAACCAACTTAATCCATTTTATTACATTTCTTGGTGACACTGTAAATCCCTTTCTCAATTCGAGTACTATCTTTAACTTACTACAAAAACCAAAATACTGGAAATATTGCAAACATGAAATAAGAAAACAGAAAATATGCAAAATATTCGGCAGATCAGGTAGCATGTGTATGGAGAGAAAAACAGACTTCACATTTCAGGTAAATTACCTCTTATCTGGTGAAAGGTTGTTGACCTCAAAGGTTAACCCGATTTCTCTCTCTGCGGATATGCCCAAACTTGCTGAGTATTTCCATAATGTTCTGTTTTGATTTTTATCTTAAACTTTTGTAGTTAGCTACATCTGTTGGACGTCTTTTCTTGTGGAAGCCATACTTCTACAGGAAACATATATTTGAGAATTTAAGAATGATTAATCATTTCTTTAAATGTTCACCATTGCTTATTTTCTGTCACATCCTGCACTATAACTTACCTTAGCCAACCCAAACTTCATACAATCTGTGGAACATACATTGTTTAAATTTAAGATCTCAGTTTTGAATTTAACATTATCAATATTAAATTCAAAATGAGATTCTGTCATATCATGATCAACCTTATCCGAGAGGATCTATTACTATAGGTTACTAATTAATCCTGTATTATTTCATAACACTAGATTTAAAATAAGTAAACTGGTCCCTCAACCTATTGTTCTAAAAATCTGTTTCAAATCCATTCTCTGACTCATTCTTCAAATTGTTCATGCCAATTATACAATAATTAGATTAAAGTCTGTCATGATAATTGTTGCCTTATACATGCACCTTTAGTTTCTGGATTTATTTTCAGACAAACGAAATAACTTTGGGCCTGGGCACCTATGCATTTCACCGACAAGCAATTTCTATTCTTTGTTTATCTCCACTCATATTCTTCTGGGCAATGCGTTTTGTTTTTCTTCCACTATCGCTACCCCTCCACCTTTCCATTTTGCTCCTCTTCTAAATGGAATTTGTCCTGGAGTATCTGGTTTCAAACCTGGGCCACCCTGAAATCATATCTCAGGAATAGCTATTAGATCAAAAACATTTATCTCTATTTGTGCCATTTCTCTTGTGGTGAATACATTTTTCACTCAATTATAGCACCTTTGATTTTAACTTTTTACTATTTTTCCCTGATGTGACCTTCATCAGTAATACCTTACTATCTCCACAAAGCTCTTTTTCCCTTCCTGACATGATATGATAGCTATTGTCTTCCAGAAACTTGACTTTTCTCTTTACACTTCTCTTTACCCTTGCTTGGAACTTCCCTTCACCCCATATTTACTCATGATTGTGCCAATTTGCCATTTCTCAATTGGATTAACAGTCAACTGACAAGGTATGAGTCACCTTTGTTTGTGACCCAGAAGTGGTGTAGATCCAAAGCTAACATACTGCAATTGTGCAGAAAAAATGATCATTTAACAGATGGTACTCTGTCTGAGCTGATGCATGTGGTGCTGGAACACAGAGAGACTCTTTTTAGATTGGCAGGGCCCAACATCACCAGGGCAAAGTGACAGCATATCTGGCAGGAACTTACTAAATGTGTTAAAGCTAAATCCCTGAAAGGAAAATACAGCTGCTTGAAGAAAGACAATCATTTACTAACTTAGCTACAGTGTTCTTTCTGGTTCCCAGACAAATTGACCTGGCAGAACAGTCATAGTGGGCACCTCACTCAGGAGTGGGTTAAAATGCCATCTGTATGTCATGGGAATCTAACTAGTATTTGATTAAGGAAACTCCTGCCAGAGTCCAACAGCAGGCACGTTTGCTGCCAAAGGTAATAGTTTCTATCCCCCTGAAAAACTCAGCAGTGTTATTAACTATTTCTGTCTCAAAATTTGTTTCAATAGACAGTAATTCTGGCAACAGTTCTTTTTAAAGGTGATGACTGACTTCAAAGCTACCACCTTCACTGCCCCTTATTTCCACTTCACAAGATTTGTCTAAAGGCTTTCCAAGATGGGGTTCTCAACTCCACATAAATATTTTGTGAAGTCCTCACTGTCAGGTTGCTGAGAATACTTACCACAGGTATACTGTGCAGGTTCATGTATATGCCATGTACTGAGTAGAGTATGTCTGTGGTAAGTGTTCACAGCATCAAGGCAGCATAGATTTCAAATAGCACACACTATCAAACTGATCAAGCCTATTAATGCTTCCTTTTAGTCAAAAGCAACTTACATTTCCAACACTTGATTAACTGGGAAATGCTCCATTAACTACAAAAGACCTAACCAAATGCAGTACTAACTTAAATTGCAGGTATTAGAAGAGGTTTTGAGAAGTTTGGTTAGAGGAATGTCCTTTAGTGGTGTTGGAGTATTTTCCTATTTTAAGTGAGTTCTGTAAGTGCAAGATGTTGTTGCTGGGTAACAGGGAGCTTTAACAGGACTGTTCGGTCATGACAGAAAACGCTGGAAAATGCTTATTGCAGGCCAGGCAAAGTGAAAAGGTGAAACAGAGGTAACAATTCAGAATGCTGGCCTAGAAAGAGAAAATGTCAAGAGGTGTAGCAGATTCTAAGCAAGTGGAGGGACAGAGAAAAGTGGTTAGTGGGGGGGGGGGGGGGGGGTGGGATTGTGGGGTGAAAGAACAAAAGTTTTGCGTTAGGGTGAAATGCAGGAGGATTAAATGGATAGCAGCTTCATTATCACAATCTACTGTTCCAAAAAAATGAGAGTATTCATTAGGAACTGAAGTTGTTGAACACAATGTTGAGTTCAGAATTCTGTATAGGGCCTAAAAAGAAATTGGGGCACTATTCCATTAACTTCATTCGGACAGTGGGGGAGGCTCCCTTCGGCTTTGCCCTACTTTTGTCATTTACTGTGATTCATTGTCATTTAGCCTTGGCTTTTGTTCTTT